GGAGCCAGTGATGACAAACATAATTTTTCTGACACCTCGTATGAGAGCTGCACCGTGGCTCCTGATTCTAGCTCTAATCTGAGGCTCCCAGCTACACCACATTATACATGTGTCCACCATGTACTGCGATGATGCGTTTGTGAAGCCATCTGTCACGTTAACATGCTGTCATATACACTCATCTGTTCTCTTGCAGATGATCAAAAAGGATCTGAAGAAATACTCAAAGATCTTTGAGCAGAAGGATCGTCTGAGCCAGTCCAAGGCTTCTAAGGTTTGACCTGTTTATATATTTATATTTTAACTTATCTTTGGGAGAGTTTGTTGGAAATGCTTTTCCCAATTTTTCATGTGCTGTCCCCCACCTCTTCCATCAGCATTGGATAGGCCCCTTTTTATTGTCCTGTTAATTTGCAAGTTAATCATCTCCTGTATCTCTTTAAAGAAATTTAAAGCGTTTTGCTAACTTTTATATTGACTCTATAGTATAATTCACTGAGGCTGCTAACACTTTACATGCTTTCATGGTAATACAAGCTGTGTGTTCACACTGAAATGTAAGCTTTGTGGGTTATGATGCTGAACTCTGCTCTGTGTGAGTAGGATCTGGTGGACAAGCGGAGGGCAATGATGGAAGACTACCGACGGTACAGGGAGGAGGCGCTGAAGATTTATCAAGAACAGAAGAGCATTCGCCTCGAGCTCAGAGGAGGTGGGACCTCTCACTGTTATCTCACTCACTGTTAACTTGCCTTTGAGGCTTTTTCTTAAGAGTGCTGAAATTTTTGTGTCATGTAGGAGTGGGCACAGATGAGCCGGACAGCAATGTGGACGACTGGGAGGAAGAGACCATTGAGTTTTTTATCAACGAAGAAATCATTCCCATTGGAGATCTGTAGTCCCCTACGCAGGTAACACACTGCACAGGTTGTTGTGGAGTCTTGTCAGCTATTTGTCTTGCACCCTTTGATTTCACTGTGGAGATGTGTTCATATTTTAAACATCCGGCTATAAAACTTTACATTAGTCCACATAATACGGCTGCATATAAATTAGGGGATGCATGTTGTCTTCAGTTTTAATCTGAAGTGGCGAACAGAAAAATTAATGCCATTCCCGCATGCTCATACAGTCAGCAGCATCTTCATCACCCTCCCTTTTGCTCACAGTCTCACTCTGCATTTCCGCTCTTGTCTTCCCCTTCAGTCCATCCGTTTTTGTGTGGAAGGAGGAGAGAGGAGCTACGTCATTGATTGGAGAAGGACGACGACCACGCTGTGAATCTTGGGGCTTCATCTCAGGCCGCAACGTTCAACTCATCATCAAAGTGCGCCTTACGGATCAGCAGCTTCATCGAGAGACAAAAGAGAATACTTTGTATTGCCTAATTTCTCTTTGTCTCTCAGCATCATCTTCCCCATTTTTTTTTCCTCTGTGGACTTTGATATTCAGCAAAACTGCCTCCTACTCTGTTCATTAGTTGGAGTCTCAGTGTCTAATCTCAAACTCCATCCTGTTTTGGACCTTCCTCAACCCCCCCTGGGGATTTATTTTGAACTAGCCTCACCATGCTAGTCTGTTGTTACAGGGCAGCACAGAGTGCCATACCATTCAGGGGTGGAGGTGTTGTGAATAAACAAGTAGCCTTGTTAATAAATGTGCTGATGTGGCGCTATAGTGGCCTGTATCCTCCTCCTTTCAGACTAGGCTTTCACACAGGGAGGGGGCGCGCAGTGGGAAAACCTTTAAATAAACAAACAGAATACCACCTGACTCTGTCTCACGGTTTGGTTATTATTAGAGTGAGTCCATTCAAATATGGATTGGTCACATGATTGCATGTGATATCAGAAAGCTAACAGAAAATTAACCTGCATCAGTCTGGAGCAGTGTTTACACAGTAAATATGCCAAAACTGCTGCGGGCTTGATAAAATAATTCAAAGATGTACATGGCCGTTGTCGTTCACTGATGTCTAATAAAATATTACTGCGTACCCTGATCATACTAATTAGGGCATGTGGATTATTGATAATCTGGATTATTGGTAAAGATGCTAAGATTAAAATTGTAATTGTTTATTATATTTCTGTATCTGATTCTTTGCTGTTTCACCTTATGATTCCTGAGGGGAGGGGGCGGGGTATAGGCCAGCTTGTCATCAAATCACATCAGGATATAAAAGCTGTTCTTACTCACATGCAGCACCCTCCAGGAGACACATGTACAGCAGAAGTACTGTGATTTAGATTGTGTTTCCTGAGTAATTAAGGCAGAACAGGGCATAATCGCCCACTAACTGTGAATATTCCACACAATTACACATGCTAATTTCACACCAGTGCAGGTTTTGTACTAGTGAGATGTCTAATTGACGTCCAAACCTGCTGCATTGGTCATTTAAACTGTTAATGCACCTCCACGGAGTATTTTCTAAAATAAATGATGTTTGGGTGTGCATGTGAAATCCACTGCAAGGAAAACACCGATCCTGATCATGGACAGTGCTGGTTCTCAGCTGAAACAAGTTCCTTCAACTGGGCCAAATGTGACAGCTACAGATGTAGAAAAGTGTCAAGACAAAAGTACCAATCAGCATCAACAGGTTTGCTCACATCTCTTCAGTATTAACAGCATCACAGTCACATGTACTTTTTCTCCATTAGACATGAGTTTGTTTACATCCAATCAGGTGAGTGTTTACTGTGTTTTGTTTTGTCTTTAGCTCACTGCAGTTAAGAATATAAAACGACTGCAAATCTTTGTTGTTTGTAGGGGGAAAAAGATCCATCTCATAAACAGATGACTTCAGCCTCAAGCGTGGCAGCTAAATGCAGGGCTGTGTTTGAGCCTAAACTCAGACGTCATCTAGCTGCCACTGAATTTGCCTTTGAAAGCCATAAATTGCAGTGAAATTGTGCCCATTTCTGCTCAAATGATTTTAATATTCCCACATTTCGCTGTACTTAAAATATTTGTAAGCTAAGGTCACTTGCTCTTTTGTATCTGCTGTTTGAGTTTTGTGGCCTTGAAGTATTTGCATCAACCAAAATCATGGGTTTTCCTCTCGCTCTGTTCCTGTAGATACCTGGCCTGTCATTAAGGTGAAATTCTAGCCTTGGCTTTTTCCACAGATTTGAAAGTCATCCATACCTTCACCCCAAGGCCATATGACTTGCTTGCAAAAAATAAAACAAAGTGGGCCATAATTTCTACAATAAAACATTAAATAGTCTAAATGTGCTCGATAGGAAGGCCTTAAATACAGTAGTTTGGTTTTCTCATCAACACTTGCGTCATTGTTATTGTGAAAAACCCTTTCAGACCTCAACATACAGCTGACGTCCTAGCACCATTTGGGTTCATTAGTCTTGCATGGCTAATTCCCAATGGGAGCGGGAGGCCACTGTTCAGCCACAATATAGACTCTATGCTGCACGGATCTCATTAACCTCCCAAATATCTGCACATACTTTTAAACACTTTCACTGTGAAATACTCTTATTATCAAAGACGTTATCTACCAGTTAGCCATGTCACTAAATGTTCCACAAACCACCTGAAGAAATGTGGCTTAACCACAGTCATAAATCAGTTTTGTATCTGCAAATTAAACGCTTAAAGTGTGCATGTTTTAACTGGATAATTGTGGGTGAAATTTTGAACTCTTTCAAATAACTGAATAAAAAATACATGAATAAGTAAAATTTGCAGACAATGTGCGCTTTATTATGAAGGAGGTCCTGTTTAAACCCAAAAAAAAGAGAGAAATTTTACTGAGAAAAATCAAGTTTTTTAAAAAAAAAATTGAAACTTTTTGACTGTACAGAAATTACCAGATTATAAAACAAGTTCAAATTCAGACTTACTGAGAAAAAAAAAAAAATCATAGTTTAACATATGAAAGTTGGCTTTTTATTCAAACAACAAAGAAAGTATAAGCTACTGTGTCTTCAAATAGAAGTCAAATTTGATGACATACTGAATAAAAATTTTGATACTAAGTCCCAAATATGGTTTCCTGAAATTAAAAAATGTTAAATTATAAGATAGAATGTCGACTTCCTGTCTCATAGTTCTTCTTATTTTATGAATGGTTAAGACTGTGTTATATGACATTTCTGTCTCTCAGCAGCTGCTCATCTGATCCACTGCAGACTTGGGACCTTATTATCAGCAATGTCAAATCTGAGGTCCTTTCAATGAACGCTTGTTACATTTTAGCTCACAGTTGTTCTCTGTTAACCAGATGACACTCACTGACTTTAATGCATTCCAAAACATCTCATTACTAATTTTAGTTTACACAACCAAGTGCCCAGTCTGAACCTTTAGCCTAGGCGTGTTTAAACTTTAATCCTAAAACCAAGTCTCCAAGAAGCAATTTCAGATTAATAAATACATTTTTATTTTAGGCAAATAAAAATGGAGTAAATACCAAATGCACTTTTTAAATCACAATTTTATAGAAAAAAGTCATACAAAGCTACCTGGCCCTGTGTGGAGAAGTAATTGCCATCTAAACCTAATTGCTGGTTTTGCCATCTTTGGCAGCAAGAACTGCAATCAAGTGTTTGCAGTAGCTGACAATGAGTCTTTCACATCAGCGTGGAGGAATTTAGGCCCACAGAACTGTTTTAATACAGCCACATAGGAAGGTTTTCCAGCATGAACGGCCTGCTAATGGTCATTCTAGAACACCAAAATTGGATTCGAGTACAGACTAGACCACTCCAAAACCTTCATTTTGTTTTTCTGAGCCATTCAGCGGGAGGCTTGATGTAGTGTGTTGGATCATTGTCCTCCTGTCTAACCCAAGGGTGCTTCCGCTTCAAAGCATGAGACATTCTTCTCCATGATTTTCTGGTAGAGAGCAGAATTCATGTTTCCGTCAATTACTTTTCCATGTCCTGAAGCAGCAATCCAGCCCCAGACCACCACCACCAACTTGTTTAACTGTTGCAATGATGTTCTTTTTATGAAAGGCTGTGTTAGTTTCAGTGTTTGTCTCGTCAGTCCACAGAATATTTTCCCAAAAGTCCCAAAAGCTTTTGTGCCCCCCCCCCTTTTTTTTTCCAGCAGTGGTTTTTACCTTAATCTCTCCCATTGTTGCCATTAACTTTGTTTCTCAGCTACGTCCTTAGATTGTGACATGAAGTGTTGCTTTTTGAGCTCTCTGAGCTCTACTTTACCTTGTCAGACAGGTTTTGTTTAAGTGGGATGTCTTGATTCAACATGCCTTGCAATTATCAGGCGCGGGTGTGGCTAGTGAAACTGAAATTGGGGGTATGAGTTTGCTGAATGGCAATTACTTTTCACATACAGACCAGGCAGATTTATATAGGTTTATTTTTCCCCATAATAAAACTAGATAATGTATAAAATATAAATACTTAATTTAAAGCACTGTAGCGGAATAAAAAAAACACCAAATCTTTATGCTTTTGAAATGTAATTTTCGTTATATCTGTTCTCTTTTCAAAACACTGACTTTATTATTGTCTGCATGTGAAGCACTTAGAGGATAAGAGTACACTGTAGCTACAAAAAGACGGATTATGCTCTCCCCGGGCTCTGGACCAACAGAGATTTATAATTATTTTAGTTTTTCCCTGGAAGTCCCAAGACCAGTGTGGGAAAAGAAAAATGTGTGTGTTGGGGGGGGCGGGTTGGAACACGTGGAATAGTGCGTGGCTGGATTCTGAAAACAAAAATCTATTTTCAAAATCTCGCGAGCCTTTCCTCATTATAGGGCTCATTCCGTCGTCGCTGCTGCTCTGTCTCGCCCTACCTCCCGCCCGCTTGGTCTCATCACCGGGGCAGCCGGACACAGCGACAGAGACGGGGAGAGAGAGCGAGAGAAGCGGACTGACTATGGAGCTCCTCTGCAGGGTGATATGAAGGATTTAGGTCATGAGCCGTTTTTTTTTAATTTATTTTTTCCCTCACAGACAGATTAATGTTCAGACCGGCTTAAATTGCTGCCGTGATGCTCCCTGAGTGAGAGGCGTAAAAGAAACAAAAGGAGGCTTTCCTGCTCCTCAGAGCCTGGGTATGATGAGCGGAGTGTGAGCGGATGAAAGTGTGGAGAGAAAGAGGTGCAGTCCTTCTGTGGTTGGCTGCTGCAGGGAAGGAGAAGCTGGAAGAGTCCCGTTTGCGTGAGAGAGAAGGGACTGGCCGGTGCGGCCGCAGAAAGGGCGCATTGTAACCTCTGTAGGTTACTCTGTAAACTGAGGTTGTTTCCGTCCGACGGCCGGGAGGAGGTCACGGTGAGTCTGCTGCTAAACGAGGAAAATATTAACAGAGATAATAAAGCCTAGTAAGCTGCTTTCAGTGAGAAATGATTAAGATATTCTAAGGGAAGTAGGGCGAAGGGCCTGCAGCTTGTCACTGAACATTTGAAGTTTTGGATCTTTTCCGTTGATCTCTGCGCGTGCCTTTGCGCGCGCGTGCGCTTGTGTGTAGCGCGTGGCAAGACTGAAGAGACTGTGTGGATGTTTGATTTTCCAGACAGGCTCGTCTTGTCTTCGCGGAGTTTAAATTTAAACCAATGAGAGGAAAAACGCTGCGGAAAAAAACAACTTTCGCTGGAGGATGCTTCTTGCCCTGTCTGAATTTTTTTCTTCTGGTTTTAAAAGGCACCATAATTTTTTTCCACTATAGCAGATGTTTTTTATGGGACAAACAATCAGGGATGTGAACCCTTAAGCAGCCCCTGGTTTGAAGCTGCTTCATCAGCATAACCATTTGTTCACATCTCCCTGTGACAGCTG